TGAGCACTTATCTTCTCTATAAGAAGTCAAATCCAATATTTGAACAGACCCACCTGAGCCCATTATGTAGCAGTGATAACCATCTTGGGCTTTGTGAGTGCTACATGCCTGTCCCGCTCTGTCTTCATTTATTGATCATCACTGGCACTGATAGCATTCATCTTGACATCGGTCTGTATTAACACTTTGGTAACGAGGGCGCAGCCTCCTTCAAGATCAGATAGCCAGCTCCACAAAGCGGACTCCTCTCTGCAGGCTTGGCACCCGCAGGTCATGACCCCTGGCAGGAGGCTCCAGCCAACACATCCACGAGGACTGCGCTGCTCTCCAAACAAAAACAGAACAATTATCTTGAATGAGGAGCAGCACTGTTCTCCGAGCACTTGTTTGGGATTGGTGCAACTATGTTAAAGCGCAAAAAAATAATCAGGTTTTCGTTTCTTGTTGGACGTTTTAGAAGCTGAGCTGACACCTTAAGATCACCAAACCTATTTTTTTTTTAGAATAATGAACTTTGTCCCCCATCTTTTTACTCCCAACAAGTCAGTAATTTGCTTAAATAACATGTCAACATTTATCCATTCTCCTAACCTTAGCACACGGTTGTGCATTTCACAATAATTCACCTCCATAATTTCCCGCCTGATTCAATTCTCCGCTAAATGGAATCAAATCAAAACTCATTTGCATCCATTTGGATGAACTCAGCTGTATTTTGCTTTTCTAATTGAATGTTTTGATTATGGAAACACAAATAAAATAATGTCTCTGGATTGTAAAATGTTTGTTCTGCGTCACCCAAATCTTTAATTAGTATTTATTAGGAAATGGGCAATACATTGCTAAGTAGGTTGACAGAAAATCTATTAAAAATGTTAATTCTTTGTTCTATATTGCTATAAAACGGCACATTTAATTGATAACTTGTTTAAGTTACTACTTGAATTCAGACAATTTAGATGTGCTATAGGTGCTGACATTTCCCTGCACTTTGAGTTCCTCTGCTCTTCCTCTCTCCCCAAAACAGATGCTGAAACAGCACAGGGTGCGATGGCGGCCCGCTCCATCACTCATCCCCATCAGTTCAGTCCTCATGACACTCAGAGATGAGAAATAATTAATTCAACAGTTACTGAAGCACAGAATCACATCCATTCTGGCAGCAACTGGCTATTGTTGTTGGCTTTTTTCAAATATATGATAATGATCTTATCGTGGAATTTCTCTTTTTTTTGTGTGTTTCTCTTGTAAATTCAAAAGAAAGCCCAATAAAAAAAAAGCAAGAAGGCATTCGGCATGGCTGAAACTAAGAACGCTGCTGATCTGATTGTGTAATTTGTGATCCACGTTGAAAGGCAGTTTGATATGACTTTGAAAGGTACTTCATGGATGGTGCATTTTATCAACGAGACACAGCTAGATGTGACTCCACAGCTTCTGTGATAAATAATGTGTGCAAAACGCTCTGAATACATTTGTAGCTAAATATCTCACAGTTATCATATATATATATATATATATAGTACTCCTCATCCAGCAGCTTTTCTTTTGTCTTTTCACATGAGGAGAGGTGGGGGTGGTGGGATACAGCAAGGGTGAGGTGGCCGGCGAGCTGCCTGGATGTTAATCTGTGAGGTAATAGCTTTTCTCTGCAGAATTGCAAATTCTAATATATGTCAATTTGTACAGCCATGGTCACCAAAGACACCATCTCCAGAGGTCTCGCCCACGCTCCCACTCTCTGTCCATCTGCAACAATAGCTGCCAACTGTAACATGGTTCTTTTAATTTGCAATAACACGTGACAATAGTAGATTAATGGCTCTTATGACACCTGTGTCCCTGAAGCTTCTCTTGCCGAGACCCAGTGTACATAACGTGTGTCACACTACATTATCTCTACATCCCTCTTGTAATGGTGGGGGGGACCCTGTTTTAAGGGCACTGCTGACTTGGAAACTGTGGAGCTGCTTGGCAGAGAGCCACAGCCCAAAACAAATACTCTGAGCTGCACAGCCAATCCATTTCAGCCGAGCTTGTGTTACACTCCCCCTCCTTTCCTTTCTCTCATTTTTGTTCATGTTTCCATCCTTTGATAATGACTGCTTGTGCCATAATAATCATGAGGCTTACCAACTTAAATAGGGCTCAGGGAAGCTACTGTGCTGTGAGGAAATTTAATCCAAGCATTAACTCGCTATAGACTACAGCCTACTGAGCGAAGCAAAATATGTCTAAATAGCAAACAAGGCATCACTGAAACACAGCTAAATCAACAGGAAAACACTGCAGTGGCAGCACAAACTGTTTTTTTCTTCTGAGCGATCGCAGTTGGGATTTCCCAAATGCTGCATTTTCTACAAAAAGGAGAATTAAAATAACTAAAAAAGTCAAGTCTGGTCCTTTGGACGGGTTCAAAAAACAAAATGTTGTCGAAACGTTTCGTCTATCATCCGAAAGACTACGAAACGTTTTCACAATTTTTTTTTTTTTTACCCGTTTAGAGGACCATATTTAACTTTTTTTATTTTATTATTTCTACCTGGATTGTTGAGCATGCATCAGAAGAATTAGAATACCTTTTGTCTCTTTTTGTTTTTCATTTTTAGATCGTAAAGTCCATTAAAGAGTAATGTGATTTTATTATTCTATGGAATCAATCTGGACGCTGTCTCACAGCGCGCTAAGACTGGCTGTAACTACCATACCCATCACTGCACCCTGTATTCACTGGTTAACTGGTCATCATTAACTTCTCACTGGTACATTTTTATCTTTAAATCATTTCTTGGTCTGTTGCATTCTTATAGCTCCTCCTACATGTCACTGTGTGAGTGCAGCTACAGCGTGCGCTCTCAGGACATTATTACCTGCAGTGTACCCTCAGTGCAGACTGAACTAGGCAAAAGGGTCTTCTCCTACTCCGCTCCTGTTTCCTGGAATATCTTGCAAAAAGATCTGAAGCTCTTGACCTTGACCTCTCTAAGTGGCTTCAAACATCTGAAATTCCTGAGAAAAACCAGTGCAGACGTGTTCCTGTTTTTAGTTTTCTACATCGCCCTACAATCTAGCTGATTTTTGTTTTTCCCATTTTTTTAATACCATTTTCTTTTATTTGTTATTCTCAATTTGGATGTTTTTTATGATTGTCTACTGTTGTCATCACTCTTTGTTAAAATCAGGCCTCTCTTGTAAATGAGTCCCTGAGGCTCAATGATTAACCTGTATAAATAAAGGTTGAATGAATGAAAAATCTGGTACAAAAACTGCTCATTTGGATGGAAGGAAAGAAAACTGATCTAACTGCTGTAGTAAGGTCTTGTAACACAAATATGTGGCTCCTACAATGACAGAGTAAAACTTTCATATTAATAAAATACAAAATAGTCTAGAAATCTCCTCAAATTGTGATTCTTATGACTGCACCTTCTAAACGTGCACTGAAAGCAAAATCTTTACATTTTGCCTTTTTTTTTTTTTTTTTTTTGGTAAAGTTCCCTTTGTAGAAGACAGCGACAGGACAATTGTGTCTACAGGGTAAAATCCAGTGTAATATACTATTCTTACAAACTGCGGCTTGAGGCAAGACATTGCTTTTGCAGCCGAGTGTGTGTGTATATGTGTATGTGTGTCTGAGTCTGAGTGTGTTTGGCCAAGACCTGAGGTTTATGTTTGGGAAAGATAAAGTATCCGTGACCCTGTGGTTCCAGGTAGACACCAGCTGGCTGCTGAGAGAGTATATAAGAACCAAAACTCCCCCGTCACACTCAACGCAAACACACGCGGTTGCACACATCCGCACACCAACACGCACGGGTTTCTCCTCTTTCATCGTAATGCTGGTCGAGCACCTAAATCACAAAGATGGCAACACATCAGGGGAATCATTTGAGACTGAATAGCTGTAGAAACATGGCGCTGTCACCTGGAAGACCTCCACAAAACAGCCTGGCTCCGCTTCTCCTACACACATTCCTTATCTCCTCCCCATACCCTTTAATACCTCTTTGCCCTTCAGTAGCAATCTGCATAGAAATGTGCGCATTTTATCATTCGGTGACTAGACATTACACCCTGGCTAATACAAGGGGTCTTCAAACGACTGAAAATGAACCCTTGGAAATACCAGACGTTTGCATTATGCCCCCGTGATTGCATCTCTTACAGGGGAAGGCTTGATTATGTCATTTGCCATGTCCACGTCATGCTGGTTTTTATATCTTTGCCAGGAAATCTACCTCTGACAGGTCATTAGTCATTCCTCTCTCCCCGCACGCACATAAAACATCAATTCCACTCAATATCCCACAAAACCCCCGTGCTTCCCCAACAAACGCCAGAACAAAGAAGGAGCTATGTAAACTGCTGCCGTGCTCTGATTAGCTCTCATTCCAGAGAAGTGCAGAAATAAGGCTCTCATTCCCCCCCCCACCCTGTGTGGAGATAACTGCTCGTTTTCATCCCTCCATACCCGCGCATGCCTTGTAACGCAAATGCATCTGTTTAGCTATTCTCATCAGCTTCTTATGTTGTGACATTAGGGGAAGCCTATTGCTTACAGAACCAATAATCTATATCGCCTCAGGCCTCCTTATATCCACCAACAGCAGTGGAAGAGAAGCTACTTTTGTTGAGGAAGGGGGGGTTTAAAAAAAGCCCTCCTCAGAGCTATAGCTGCTTTCTTGACTGACCTGGGTGGTTGGCTACATCATCTTGACATGTAATTATCTGAAGCCCTTTAATCACTTCCATAAAGATTAATTGCAGGAGACAACAGAGGAGGTCGTGTCTTCAAATCAAAAGACTCTGTGGCAGGTTGACACAGCAGTGTAGCAGAGTTCAGACCCAGGTGTTTTATAAGGGTCATCTACTGGAACTAAAGCACCTTTTAACACTGTAATTGCAAGATCAGCGAAAAGGATTTTATACCAAATAGCTCAGTGCAACTTGTTTTACCTTCTTTTAGCTATTTTATGTTCTCTTGGTAGGAAATCTCTTACCGTCGTCTCTTTTCCTCTTTTCTCCGTTGGATCGCGGAATACCCAAAATCCCATTAATGGAGTAGGATCCTGCAGGGTCGTTGGAGGCGCTGGTTACAGGTGGAGAAGCTGTGTTTGGTACTGAGGAAAAGGCAAAAAAAAGAATCATCAAGTGGCAGGTTGTCTTGTAAAACGTATGGCGCGTGTATAAATGTTGCGTCCGTAGTGTTTTACCAATGGTATGGCCTGGCGCTGACAGTGACGTCCCATCAGGAGACGGATGGAAAGGCTGCTGAACTTTTGTTCTGATGATCCTGGGAAACAAAGGAAAAGCAGATTTGTGCTTCTGAGACACTTCCGTTTAACTTGAGCACAACAGAAGCGACCAAGTTGCTGTAACTCATACACAAGCAGAGATCTGGTCAGTGGTTCCACCCTGAAGGGGAGGTCTTGAGAAAAGTCTTCATTGCACTTTTGGTCTGAGTGATCTTGCAAACAAAGCATGAAATCACATCAATTCACCTCAATGATCAGCTTCATTGCTTCTACCTGGCCCACACTAATCAGCTTGCGCTCCTTCTCTCCCCACCCCCCACAGTGGAAGGGGTTTCATTCACAGCGGCCGATCAGAAACCCAATAGCAGCCCTTTTGCTTCCCAGATCAAACGCAACTCGTGGCCCCCGTGCGCCAATGCGGATGAGGTTGTATTGATTGAGGCGCGGAGAGAAAAAGTTGGGGATTAGTCGCACAGGCAAACAGATGCAAATAGAAAGCTATAAATTATATGTGACAGGAAAGCAATAGTTCCTTATTGCTTTGCACAAGCTTACGCCAGCATTAGATTCCTTTAATCTGAATGGCACTTGGGGAGAAAAGAAGCGGTCACAATAATTTGTAAACTTTAAAACTATTCATCGTGTACGCCACGGGAGTCACTTAATAGAGGTCTGCTGAGAACCCAAGCAAGCCCATGAGCTTCAGCGTTGCTTTCTTTGTCCTCCACATTTCAAAAATCGAACATTATAACATCCAGATGTGCATAAATTTTTATTTTAAATATTGATAAGAGCCAAAAGGCACCAGGAAAAACAAATCTGACACTGTCACAATTAAAAAAAGAAACAATGAAAACTCCCCTTGGAGGCAAAGCAACCTAATACACTTTTTTTTCTAAAAGTGCATATTGATGTTTTAATTTTTTTCACTTTCCCCACCCATAACAATAATTTGACCCCTTGACTTGTGCGTGCAACATAAATTAAAATGATTTTATTTGGTACCCGTGTTCTTCATATTGAATAAGCAATTTAGGAGAATGAATTAATGACCCCGGTTGTTGCTGAAAATCCCCCGAAGAGATATTAAAATTGCTTTACTTCTGAGTCAATAATATCGAGCACCATTGAGGACGTTTTTTTTTTTTTAATGTCCAGCAGCGAGTGGCTGCGTTGGCCCTGACATGCAGTACAACACTATCTCTGTGGCATTTAATAATGCATGCAGAAGAAAGGTGTTTAAATCAAGCATTCTCTTTTGTCAACAGTTCTAAGGTCAGACTGTCTGCCACAGAAATCCACAACTGGCCCCAGTCAGAACCACTCAACTGGAAAAGACTTTGGCTCCAGCTTCTTTTTTTTCCTTCTTCTTCTAACTCTTTTAAGTATATGTGAACACTTCCCTTATCTTTTGACTCTTTCCTTCGATTTCTTAAGAGATTTGATCATAATTGAACCATTCAGGATGTTTCAACTGCTTCTTAATGAATAAAACACTTTTTTTTTAATCTGTGGCAAAAATCTATTTTATAACGTATTTGTAAGAATGTTAAGATGGATTATAAAGCAAAGTAACCCTTTTCCAAATAAATAAATAAATAAATAAATAAAAGAGTAGATTTTCAGCTTTAACCCATAATAGACATTCAAAGCTCTCAATTTTGGCTAATAGAAATACTTTTTTGTGTTCACATTTTAATTTCCCACATAAACAAAGACACACTGGGCCTCCATCCCATCTTCTTTCCCAAATAGCCACCTTTAATTGGAATTCAAAAGACTTTAGGGGCTCTTTGAATGATATTAATGTACATTTAGAATTTATCACATACATGTGTCTGAGCCTCCTTAAATGGGGCTTTTTAAGCAGCCACGAAGCATGAAATGAATTTTCTTCCCCCACCCCCTTCTATTTAAAAGATGTCTTGTGTGGAGCTGTCCACGCTCGCTCCCATCAGCTCATTAAAATGTAATGCTGATGCTGACTCTATATGGAACGGTGCCTCTTAACCAAAGTTCATCACCAGGGATCTCTGGTGGTGGGGCTGAAGAGGTATTGAGGGTGGTGTCTCAATAGAAAGGAAATATTTCAGTGTGGAAAGGGACCACAAATAAGATATTTCCTGTACTTTCACCTACGGGGACACAGAGTTGGGAATTTGGATGCATGTCTAAATATTAAGCATCATCTTGCAGGGAGAAGATAAAACCCAGCATGCACTGCTTTCCTGCACATTAAATGTGCTCAAGAAAATTGGCCTGCTTTATAGCGCCACGGGATCTGGTCACCGAATATTGATCGGTTTTCATCTCGACAGATTCACTCAGACCTGGATGTAGTGCTGATTGCTGAGGGAGTTCACTGAAAAGATTGAATTGCACCTTTGAGCGCGTCGCAACCTCTGCTCG